GGAAGTGTGGATGGGCAAGTTCCAAATGGTGCAGCAAGGACAGAAACAGCAGGCTACCTGGACAGTCACCCAAAGTCTCACAACAACGTTGGTACAACCAGTTTTGGCTAAGGCCAAGAGTACCTGACAGACCACGACAAAAGCAGGGAGGTAGAAAGGCTGTCTTACCCTGACTTGGCAAGTTTCAGCAGTCTTCTATATTTGTCTCCTGCAAGCACATAGGACTGCATAGGACTGCATGACCAAATCAGTGGTCGAGATGGGGGCAGTTCTTTGCCCAAGAGTCCATTAGGCAAAGCGGGGCTGGACTCCAGAAGGAGCAGCAACAGTGTCCAACATATTTTCTGGAAAATGCAAGGTGCTGTCAGGAGCAATAGTGTCTCATGTCAATGGGGTACTAATATTAAAACATTTAAATGCCATGTTCTGCAGGTCTATGAAGTATCTGAAGATTAAGCATCTATGCCTGACTAATCTCATAGTTATAGGAAACATGGGTGAAGATAATACTCAGGAACCTAGCTATAAAACTGATTGAAACTTCCCTGAGTAAATCAGGGGCAAATACCTAAACAATATAACTATGTACATATATATGCACGTAAATCCCTAAAACAGAGGTAGAGTAGAAATGTCTTGACCAGAGGTAGAACTATAAAGTGCAGCATGATAAAAATATCCTGAATTGTATCAATATACAAAATGTCTTGAACATAAGTAGAAGTATACATATCTAGAATATGGTAAGGATAATGTGCATAAAACATCATAAATGGAAAGATTTTACACAACATGACAAAATATAATATACAATTCATCTGGGAAGGGAATATAGGTTACCACATATAAGAATCTATAACAATGTAAGCTGTATAATACTAATATCTCACTATTACTAAAATAATTCACAAGAAGATAGGCTAATCTACCTATATCCTATCTAAACCATACCTTCCCCAACCATACCCTATACCTGTCTAAAAGAGATATCCGAGTCTTAGCATCACCTTTCATACCCAACCCTAAGTAACTAAAACAAACCCTACATAGATGAATATTATCCCTAAAAGCCAAGAGTAGGGAAAGGGGACATCGTTATCTTGAGATTACTTCCTGCTGAAATGGGATGATGATTGTTCCATGGGATCCTATAAGGAAGAAAATTTTTAGCAACCAAATTTCTCGACAGGGCTGGCTGTGACATATGTAGCTAGTCTGGTATGGCAGGAAATGCTTGACTGGAGTTCTATCTGAAATTCTAGCCAGGATGTAATAAGAAAGTGCACCATTTCAGCTAGACAGGAGTTGTCTTGAGCAAAACAGTCCCAAACTGGTTTTAGGGTGATGTTTGTAGTCCAGATGCATCAGACTTGAGTCAAGTGAAAATGATGAAGTGGAACCCCATCTTCTTTTTGGAGAGTTCAAAGATTGATGTTAGAAATTGTTATTATTCCTTCTGGAAAACTTAAATATCAATATCAATGTAAAATTTTCAATGTTTAAGGTATGCATATAGGGAAAGGCAATAATAAGAATGAAAATGTATTTGAGGAAAATTAGGATTGCAGAAACAAAATTGCGTATAGGCAAATGAGTCCCCAGATTTTGTTTTATTCTGCCTTACACCAATTGGCTTCTTGATACAAGGCAGAAACTGTGAATTTAATCGTAACATGCTTGAATTTAGAGGAGGAAAGCTAAATCCAACTCCAAAGCCAGCATTGGTTTACATGAACTGGGACTACAGGAATACTAGATAGTAAGGAGAAATAGGTTTCTGTATAGAAATAGTTTACTAGAATTAAATTTTTTTCTACCATAAATTAGATTCCTCTTCATAAAATGGTTCTTTCTAGTGCTATCTTCTCTTCTGTATGTACCTACATGTTCAGTGTCTTTTGGCTGTTTGAGGATGGATATTTTCTGTTTTCCTGTAAGAACAAGAACAGAACACTTCCCCTGCCTTTGAGAGGTCTCTGCACAACTCATGGGAACTAATTAGTTGGATGACTTGTCATTCCTCTTCATTAAGATGTTTCTCTTGTTCAACTCAGATCTTGACCAACTTAAATGGTATCCACAGCTTTTCTTCTCCTGTAGATACAAACGTGAAACCCCTACCCCAGCGTAATACGTACACTGGTTTCCATACTGAGGTCAATATATCCTTGAAGTACACCGGCTGATTTAGTTCAGAAGTTTTTTTCTATTGTCCAATGTCTTTCTGCAGCTGTTTTTCCTTTTTCATCAGCATTTAGAAAGTTTAATGTTAATAAAGCATTATGTAATCTGTGTTTGGGTGTCTTGGTTCCTCCTGTTTATAGAGCATTTCCTTTAAAGTACGATTGGATCTCTCAACTACTGCTTGTCCTGTAGGATTGTGTGGTTATGTTATAATACTCAAAAAACTGCTTCAATTTGCTGGAGACATGCTGGAGCTTATCAGTTTTTATTTGTGCAGGTATGCCCCAAATGGTCATTATTCTAATAGGTGTGTGATAACAGAATCAGCCTTTTCAGAGCTCAGAGCAGTGGCCCATTGAAACCCTAAAAATGTATCTATAGTGTGATGCACGTATTTTAGTTTTCCAAATTCTACAAAATGAAACACATCCATTTGCCATGTTTCATTCCTATTTATACCTTTAGGGCTACTGCCTGGTGGTAAAGATGTTTGGTTATAGAATGAGCAAGCAGGACATTCCCTTACTATTTCCTTAGTTTGTTGCCAAATGATAGAAAAATCCTTTTTTAAACCTTTGCTGTTCACGTGGTGTTTCTTATGAAACTTTGAGGCTTCTAGCACAAGTCCTATTAATAACCAATCAATTTCATCATTGCTTTGTGCCAGAGGACCTGACAGACCCGTACAGGATCTGATGTGTGTTATATATATAGGATGAGTCCTATTTGTGATAGTATCTTGTAACTGTATAAACAATGAAGTTAATTCTGTGTCGTTGGGAATAAATTCTGCATCTCAATGTGTAAGACGACTCTCTCTGCATATGGAGAGTCAGTAACTATATTAAGGAGTTCTGTAAAATCCATAAGTACCATGAGAATGGTGTACAATTCTGCCTTCTGTACAGAAGTATAAGGGCTTTGAACTACTTTATTTATTTTTCCTGATTTATATCCTGCCTTACCAGATTTGTTTACATCAGTGTAGAATATAGGAACTCCAGAGATAGGTGTTTTTCTTACAATGATGGAAGGATCCAAATCATTTCTTTTATGAATTTGATTCTTTCACTTTTGAAATAATTGTTGCTAGTCATTCCCAAAAAAATTACTGCATGCTCTCTGCCAATATTCATTATCTTTCCATAAAGAGGAAATTTACTCATTAGTTAAAGGTACTATAACTTCTGCTGGGTTGATGAAGTCTTAATTTACCTTTTATAAACAAGTCAGAGATCTTTTCTATATATGGTTTTAGTTTTTCATTCTCTTTATGTGTAGAAATATCCATCCTAATAGTATATCTTCCCTGTGCATCAAAATCGCTGAAGGATATTCTCTAGATGGTAATATAATCAGAATACAGTCTAGTTTTGGATCCACACGGTCCACATGGGCTTCTAGTATTCTCTTTCTACCCATTCTAATTCCTTTGCAGCTTTAGCTGATAGTATTCATGGACTATTCAAGTCCTTGTCCCCTTTTAGGGCCATTTTTTAAGTTTGTCAAATCATGCCTTTCTACTTCAATAATGGTTTGTAATTGAGAAATATCTCTTAGTAATTTTTGAAGATCATTAAGAGTCTGGTAGCAATCTCTCCTGATCTGTACTTTTTGTGGTCTAATTTTCTGTAGACCTATTTTATACCCTAAGTAGTTGATATAATCTCCTTTTTTGTATTTTTTGGGTGCAATTGTAATCCCCAGTGAGGTAAAATTTCCCTTACTTTCTCAAACATTTTTTCTAAAATTTCTACTTTAGAATCAGCTAACAATATGTCATCCATGTAATGGTAAATTATGAATTGTGGAAACTGTTTATGAATTATTTCCAATGGTTTTTGCATAAAATATTGGTACAGGGTGGGGATATTTTTGCATTCTCTGTGGCAAAACCTCACATTGACATCTCTTCATCAGCTGAGAATTATTGTAACTAGGTACCATGAAGGCAATTTTTCTTTATCTTTTTCTTGTAAAGATATAGTGAAGAAGCAATCCTTTAAATCAATAACTATACTAGGCCATTCTTTGCTTATCTAAGAAGTCAAGGTCATTCCAGGCTGTATAACTTTATTTATTGCTCTCAGGTTTGTAAGCATTCTGTTTTGGTTATTGAGACAGCAGACATGGAACAAATTCTGTTTTCTAGTTGGTCATTTTTATGTTCCATGTTTTGTATTTTACCTGTCAGATCTCTATTGCCATCTTCAATATTCTGACCCTTTTTTCCTAAGCATTCTATATTTTGTGTTCTATGATTTTCAGCTCTCCATTGTCATTTTCAATATTCTGCATCCTTGTTACTAATTCTCCTATGGTTTATACAAGTTCTTTATTTTTTGCTCTAATCTCAAACCATTTCTTTAAGAATATCATAATAATGATGAAACCCATTGCTATTACAAAAAATAATGTGTATACTGGTTAAGTCATGATTTTTTGATTTTCTTCTGATAAAATTCCTTCTATATGTGAAATAAAAGAATTCCTAAAGTCCTGTATCGTAAGATTATCCACCAAAAGTATGGCACAATTGATCTCAGATATTATATCAGCTCAAATTTTCAAGGATGTTGTAATTACCTTAGATATAATCCTGCTGTCCTGGAACTTTGATGCTTTTAGTTGTAGATCTCAAATTGTAATTATTATGCCTGGAGGTGTACCACCAAAAACGATGCTTCTGATCCTGGTCTCTGTAGAATAGCTCTTAACAAACTAAGGCAAGAAAAATTTTGTTAAATGAAGGAGTGAAACAATCCTCATGCAAATTGCTGGGACTGCAGGGCTAACAGGTGTTGCCTCCTCTAGTATTAGGAACCACTGGTGCCAAGCAGGATGCAAGTTGGGGAATGGGCTGCAGCGACAGTGGAGATGAGCAACGGTGAGGGCAGTCTCAGAGCATAGGCAAATGTCCCACTAGCTGAGGTGTGTCCACCTGGCTTAGTCAAAGGACCGTTCCTGTTCTGGGATAGTGGTGGTGGCGGTGGCGGTGGTGGTGGATGGTGGCAGCGGGCACACATGAGCGCCTGCACCACTGGAGCAAGGAAACCACAGCACACAGGTATAAGGAACAGACCCCGGAGCGGAGCACGGGGACAGGGAAGTAAGATGTAAGAGAATGCCAAGTCTCTGGGGTGGGGAAAGGAAGTGGTGTCTGCAGCCTGGGTGAAACCTAATTCCCCAGGTCCCTTGAAAACCCGGATCCCACTTCTCACACCAGATATTGTGGTTTAATAAGGATCAGGAAAAAAAATAGGCTGAATAAATGTTTATTCAGGGAGACATAACTTACAACAGAGACAGATGAACACCAGGAGGTTCCTCGTCCCAAGGGTGCCTCCAGATGCTCTTCTGTCCCTGTGCTGCAAGAGCGAGCGAGCTCCGGGACCTTCGCCAGACCTAATTCCCCCAGGTAACATCTGCCCCTGTCCCCACCCCCAATGGGCTTGGTCAGTGCCATAGGTGTGAACAAAGTGAATATCTCACTACACTCCACATCTCAGTTTCCTTAGCTCCTGACCTCACCTTTCAATGCTCAGCCCTCTCCCCAAGTCACCTATCTTAGATTCTCTCTCATTTCAACTCATGGACACCTAACTTTATACCACAGTACCCATCTCCACTCCTTATCCCTGACCGCATGGCCAACTTCCTCCCATCATAGATCCCTGAAAACTCACTTCTGATGCATTCCCTATACCAAACCACTTCTGTACCTCTGTCTTCCTCCCATCCTCAAATAACTCCTTAAACTCAATATATTTCCCTTTCTGATCTAGCCCTCAAGCTCCCAGATCAATACTAACTTCTCCATCCTTACACTTCCAAAACACATAAACACTTTCTAGTATCAAACTCTACCCCCATTTCTTACTTCCCCCCAAACTCTACATAGCAATGTCCCATGGCTCACCTTCTTGTCTATGCACTCTTGCTCACCTAGAAATCTAACAGACTCTGGGATCTCATCCCATAATCCATTGATTCTCTCTCACAATCTATTCCCACCAATATCTCTCAGCTCCCAATTTACACAGGACTCCAAACTCTTCTACTCAGATTTTATTCCTCCAAACTTCACTTATCAAAAGCTACTACTTCCTCCTCCCACACACAAGAGGGCCCTCTAACTATTTATGACTACACGTTTTATGCAGATGGCAGCTCCTTCCTGTCAAATAGCTGAGTTAGACCTTCCCTGCCAGTCATTAACAATACAACATACCTTCCTTAACACAGGATAATCTCTTAATCCCCTCTTTGCATATTCATCCTCACCCTTTAGTTTTTGTTCTGTCAAGAACACCCATTTCCCACAAATCTCATCTCTCTTCTGACACTCTGACTTTTCCTGTGCCCAGATGATTGCCAAATCTCCACTGCTAACTGACTCCCCTAAATTCATTAACTGTCTAGATGTTCTCAGATATCAAACTCTGAATAAATCCTACACTTCCAATTACAAGACATAACTAAACCCAAGCTCTCTCTCTCTCTCTCTCTCTCTCTCTCTCTCTCTCTCTCTCTCTCTCTCTCTCTCTCTCTCTCTCAAGTCCTCCATTAGCTTCAGTCCCTCTCACCCCCAATACCCTAATTACCAATGCCCTACCCCCCACTACTGACTGCTTGTCCTCTTAATCATGCAAGACCCTTTTGGGGAACCAAAGCAAAGGTCTTTCAACCTTTCAACACCAACCCCAAAAACTTGCTACAGACCTCTCATGGTTTTCCAAGATCTTCCACAATCATTCTTGTTCCTGAAATATCTCAATTTTGAAACCCACATAGATGAAGGGACTCTAGCCAGCCCAAGCATGGCAACCATGGCCCTGGCTGGCCTTGCCCTTCTCCTCCAATCCTTCTGCCTTGCTAAAATCCACTAATTATACTCTGGAAGCTGTCCCCCCCCACCCAAGGACCATTCCCTTAGTTGGCCACTTCCTATTCCTGAGGCTGACTACCAAGGTCCAGATATCAAAGCACTGAAGTCCAGCAATTAACCCCAGCCCTTTGGCCACCTTAATTAACACATCCAATTAAAATTAAACACCTCATCCTAACAAGAGATTCCCCCCACACACACACACTTTTTTTTTAATGTGTTTTGGGGTTTTGCCATTATGAGGATGTCTTCTATCTTGGAATTGGAGTTACAGACAGTTATGGGTTGCCATATCAGTGCTAGAAATTGAACCCTGGTCCTCTGGAAGAACAACCAGTGCTCTAATCATAGAGCCATCTCTCCAGCACCCTCCCCCTCTTTTCCTTTATAAACTGCCATTTGTCTATGGGTCACATCTGTCTCCTCTGTATCCAGAGGCAGTACTTTTTATTCCCCAGGACAAAGATACCTTCCACCTGTTCCTTGCTCCTTTCCCCTTCTCTCTCACCCTCTGTCTCCTGTTTTGGTCTCTTATTCCCTGCCCTTTGTCTTTCTGGGTCAAAAAAAAATTCTCCTTTGCACTAAGAACTTTATCTTGGAGTGTCTTGAGCTGATACAGCTCCCTGTACCAGAGACCTAGCAGAAAGTCAAATACTCCCATTCAGCATTAAGGGAACATTTATAATTGAAAGTAAAACGGAAAGGATAAGAGAATTCCTGTGGAAATGTCAACTTTTGGTGTACTAGGAACTTAAAGAATTCTGTAGTATTTGACAGCAGAAACATAAAAGAATGCTTATGTGTTATAGACAAATTTAGTTTATATCATAAGAAGAATCTTGCTTTGCTATTTGAATAGTTGAAGTTTAAGAAGAATATGGTTTTTAGGAAAAAACAATTTATTTAGACTGCAGCAGAATGGCACCATCCGTAACTCCATTCCCAGAGGAAACAAAGACTTCTGGACCCAGTGGGCAACAGGAATTCACACATGCATACATGCTGGCACAACACACATGTACAAGGGACGTAAAAGAGAGAGAGAGAGAGAGAGAGAGAGAAATTCATCTTTTAAAAATACCTAATGCATGTTTTTTTCAATATATTGATTATTCTGTTATCAGAACTGATTTGTACCAAAGCAGTAATTGTGGGATAGACATTCATCACAAACATCTGAAGAGCTATGATGGCTGGGTCCAACATCCACAACAGGACTGCGGTGCATGAGATGATGAAGTCCACCCAGTACATGACCACAAAGACAACCACCAGCAGCAAGATGGTCTGGGTGGCCCTTTTCTCAGGAGATGCGCTCAGGTGGCTGCGGCTGTGAAGATATTTGCATTGCCTCTGATGTCTGAACAAGATGATCACCATGTATGCACTTGTGGTCAGCATAACTCCTACAAGAAATACATCTCTGGAGGTTGTCACTGTTAAAATCAGTGCCCTGATGATGATGTTCATGGGGAAGACTGAGCAGGATTTGGTGACCTTCATCTGGTTGGTGTCACTTGCATTGGTAAAAGCCCCAACATAGAAGATCTGGTGGCTATTGAATGACAAGTTGAAAGACCAAATGTAGAAGAAGGCATGGATTGTGTATTTCTTTAGATTAGGTTTAAATTTTGCCAGCACAGAGGAACTGGAACTGATAGTGACAGCCTGGTACACACTCAGGAGGCAGGTGATGCAGATGGAGAGGCCTCTCATCACTCTATTTATGTAAAAAGTTGTCTTACATTTGAGGTTATTCTCAATACTCAGTGACTCAAATACATCCATAAGCCCAATATCCCCTCCAGTGAGAACCAGCACTATGTGGATGAGGGTCAGTTGATAGGAGATCAGGTCCATGGGCTTAGATTTATGAACTAGGATTATGAAAGTATAGAAAAAAAAGGAGAACTACATTGGCCAGGACTCCAAGACCAGCTTGGAAATAAAGGACATTCTTTAATGAAAACATATGGGGAAAGTGTACTAGCTTAAGAGCACAGTAGAAACTTATTTTATATACCTGAAAAAAATAACAGAGTATTCATCAAACATGTGACTCAGTGGTCAGTATGTCTATATCAACAATCTGTTTTACCAACTTATTCTTGATTAACCTATCTTTTAAATTTTTTGAAATTCCACATTGCAAATGTCCTATATTTCTATATAACTTCTGTAGTGAGGTAGTCCTTCTGTAGCACTGACCACGCCCATTGGGGGGTGGAGCTATGGGCGGAGGTGACCTGAGGAAGGAGGTCGGAGGGGGCCAGGAAGGCGCTCTCTTTCTGGCGTGACTCGGACAGGAGAGGATCGGGTTGAATTTCCTGGTGTTCATCTGTCTAGGTTGTAAGTTATTTCTCCCTGAATAAACATCTATTCGGCTTATTTGTTTATCCTGATCCTTATTTACCGCAATATCTGGTGTCAGAAGTGGGATTTACCTGGGTTTTGCCCCCAGGCGGCAGAAGCCGCCCCCCTCCCCCACCTTCCCCAACGGGCAGGGTTTAACCAGGTGGACTCACCACAGCTTTGGGACATTTGCCTCTTCCTTACTGCAAAGGAGATCTTTGCCGCTAAAGCAGACCTGAGAAGGCACTTACCGCTTAACATTTTTTGCCCATTTCCGCAGGGGACTTTGCATTCGCGCAGAGCCTCTCGGCGGCACCCGCCCGGCGGCACCCGCCCGGCTTGCACGCGTTTCGTCTTGTGTTACAAGTAACTCCAAAAGTCCCCTTTTAACAAAATTCTGCTTGCCATAGTTTGTTAAGAACTTTTTACAGGAACCGGGATCAGACGAGCCTGGGCGGCTAGGCGCTATTTGATGACACACCTCCAGGCGTAGCTACCACAAGCTGAGATATACAACTAAAAGCATCAAAGTTCCAGGACAGCAGAATTACACCTAAGGTAATTGTAACATCCTTTGCAATTTAAGCTGATATAAAATCTGAGATAAATTGTTCTATAACTATGGCAGATAATTTTACTATGCAGAACTTTAGGAATTATTTTACTTCATATGTAGAAGGGATTTTAGCAGAAGAAACTTATGACTGGACCAATATATACTTTTATTTTGTAATAGCAATGGGTTTCATCATTAACATGATATTCTTAAAGAAATGGTTTGAGATTACAGCAAACAATAAGGAACTTGTACAAACCATGGGAGACTTAGTAACAAAGATTCGAAACATTGAAAATGATAGAATTCAAAGCATAGAGACAAGGATTCAAAACATTGAAAATGATGGAATTCAAAACATAGAGACAAAGATTCGAAACATTAAAAATGATAGAATTCAAAGCATAGAGACAAGGATTCAAAACATTAAAAATGATGGAATTCAAAACATGGCATTTGAGTCTGGGAAATGTAAGGAAATTTTCACTAGAAGTGTGTGTGTGTGTAATGACTGGACTATTGGGCCTAAGAATCGACCAATAGCATATTGTTTACTGGGTCTGATAACATAAGTACGTGTACAGTACTTGAGTGAAAAACTGAGAGTTGTATCAAATATGTTCATGAAATAAATGAACTTGAAGGAAAATGGAGAGTGTATCTCTGTTTCCAGCGTGACTGGATCAGATCCACGAGGGCCCTGCCTCATCACCACTGCAGACTTTCAATGTGAATTACTCAAAACAAACTGAAAACTCTATAGTGCTTGCAGACATAAACTGATGTTTCCATCATTTGGTTTTCATGGTGTGATGCTCTGTGTGCATTGACTAAATAACATTTACTGGCATCATTTTATTCCACTTTTTAAAAACAATTATTTCATAATTCTACCTTATCTGTTTACCACTATAATTTTGTTGTATTTTGTGAGGTGGGAAATAGTGATACATAGGGGTGGTCCCAATCTATAGTTCAGATTGGCTTCAGTCAAACTCAGGATGTGCCTGCCTTGGCCTCCAAAGTGCTGGAATCACAGGTATGTGTGACCACACCTGCCTTCACTTTCCATTTAGTCTTACAACATTCACAGATAAACTTAAATTAACTTGGCATATTTTGTGAATGCCTATTTTAATGAGCAATTATATTTTGGAACTATTAGAGGAAAACTTTGGGATTTTGACTTTAAATAATTTTACATTACTCAATAATTAAAATACTTCTCACTGCTAATGAAAAGCATATTCAATATTATATAGGAATTAGTGTAACAAGGTTCAACTTTAAAAACTATTACAAATGAATTCATTTTAATTAAAGCACCCAAACTCCTACTGAAAATTACCAAGTTTACATGTTTTGTAAAGATAACTTTGCAGGAATTTAATGAATAAGTGAAGTCAGACTTCTAGATATTTTGAGATGCCCAAAAAGATCTACTTCATTAGAAATTATCATAATAGGATAAGCAAATCCATGAAAAAATGTAAACTTATTTATATAATGTTAAGAATGTCTTATATTTTACTAGGCCATGAAGTGAAACTCTCCTAAAAATTTGCAAGTATGGCTGGGTGGTGATAGTACTTGCCTTTAATCCCAGCATTCAGGATGCATAGGCAGGAGGATCTCTTGAGTTCAAGAACAGCCTGGCCTATAGAGTAAGTTCCAGGACAGACTCCAAAGCTACAGAGAAACTCTGTCTCAGAAAACAGCAACAACATCAAAAGAATTCCTAATTATATATGCAAACTTAATAGAACAAAAACTTACTGATAAACACTAAATTAGTTAGTATTTGTTGTATATTCCCAGTTTAAAGTTTCACATAAATCAATGCATAGGTTGAGAACAGGAGTAAAATGAGAAAATATAAAATGTAATTTTAGTGTATCTTAACATTACAAATGTACTTCCACAAACTAATAAATGTGTTCTTTGTGCTTTACTCTGTAAGCCATTTCAGGCATTTTGTGAGATGGATGGAAAATTAACACAGCTGTCTTTAACGAAGAGGAACCATGTCTTTAGAATTACAAGAGTACACACTCAAGAGAATCCATAGTCAGATATGCTCATTCAAATATTCCATTTAGGGCCACTTTTTACAGAGATATGGACACACAGTCATTGTAAATAGAGATGGGTTTCATGACATTTTCATTCAATATTTAATACCCATTGGTTGTCTCCACCCTGTTACCCTTTCCTGACTCTGTCCTGTCAGTGAAATCTACAGTCTTTACAAATAATTACAGTGATATTTTGTGTCCACAAGCATCTATTGTGCTTGCTAATGACACATTATAGCTCAAAAGTAAAATTCTAAACAGAGAATTTTCTAATGATTGTATTACAGAAATTCCTGCTTCATTCTACCACTTGCTTACAGTTATTACTATTAATGAAGAGAAAAAGAAACACTCACCAGCCTGGGTCTTTGATGAACATGGATGTGGAATGAGGCCCTAAGAAGCAGTTATAAGGAAGAAACGCCATCACCTCATCTCCCTCTACACCCATAATTACCATGTCACCTGGAAATGGGCAGCACTGACATTGAGGTTGTTAGAAAGTGGTACCATCAAATGTGAAAGTTCACTTTCCTAATTTCAGGAAAATAGTGGAGTAGGAACAGCTGAGCTCTGTGTGTCCCATGTGTGAGCTATTCTCCCCAGGCCATACCTGTCTGTGTGAAATAGGTGATCCCAGTCCTTGTGGACAAAACAAAAGCAAAAATAATATCCCATTCATAAGAAATAAGAAAAACATTTTTGATTCCTCAAGGAATCCTTGCTGCTTCCAAAACATTCCTAATGGTGTGCATACTTACTTACAGTGGCTTCAGAGTCTCACCTGAACAAAACTTATGTTTTGTTAAACATAAGAAAATGTCACCTCCAAACACGCTTGATGAAATTTACCTTTTCTTACAGAGAGCACAGACATGAGGTAATATAATCAAGAGATAGTGAGCTGTGGGGATGGGGTTGCAACTCAGCTGGTAGAGTGCATGTAGAGAAGGTACTGTTTATGTGAGACAGCAGGGAAAGAATTAAACTTCTGGATTAGAGGAACAGGTTAGGTAGTAGAATCCCAAGTCAATGGCAAAGACAAGACCTTCAATAAGATCATAGAAGAAAACTGCTTCAAATGTAGGAAAGACACAGCCATACAAATACAAGAAGCACAGAGAACACATAAGAGACAAGACCAGAAAAGAGAATTTTTCATGGCATCTCATAATTAAACCACTAAGTATGCAGAACAGGAAAGGTGTACTGAAAGCTGCAAGAGAAAAGCTACAGGTCACAAATAAAGAAAACCTGTCCAAAGAACAGCTGACTTCTCAAAGGAAAATTTCAAAGTCAGAAGAACCTGAAGCAATGCAAGTAAAGTTCTAAATGAAAGCCAAACTAAAATAGTATGTCCAGGTAAACTACTGCTGTGGTTAAAGGAGACCAAACCATTTTCCACATCACAGACAACCTAAAATCTTTACATTCAACAAACCAAACCTGAGATAATATGGGAAGCTTTATTTTGGGAGTAAAAGAGGAATAAACAAAACAAAGGGACTATGGTAGAAAGATGAGCCATAATTAATAAAACAAAAAGTACCACTGAGAACACAACACTAAAAATCAACAACACGATGACAAGAACTAACACACACACGTTTCAATAATTTTTTAAACATGAATGGCCTCAATTCTCTACTCAAAAGTCACAGAGTGACTAAATGGATCAAGAGACAAAATCTGTCTATTTGGGGCCTACAACGCATTAGTTATAAAGACAGACATGACCTTAGAGTAAAGGATGGACAAAGTACTCCAAGTAAACTGAACCAGGAAGTAAGCAGGAGGCACTAGCCTAACATCTCACAAAATAGATTTTAAACTAAAACTAATCAAATGAAATAAAGAGGAAAAGTGTATTCCAATCAAGGGACCAGGTAACCAGGAAGACATCACTACCCTAAACATATTCACATCAATCTCAGCAACATACAATTTCAAAAAAATCGATTTCTACATTAAAAGACACAGATTAACACC